GCCAGTTAAAAGATTCAAGCATTTCTTCAAATTGTCACTAATTACTATCTCTCCACCCATCTTTTTCGTTCCTGAAATAAAATATGTCTTTGAATATATATTCATTATTTTACATATCATCTATTAAATCTGTGCAGCAAATGTACTCTTAATTGCTCTGCAGTTGGAGTTCTGTGTACTTTCTTGTAAACTGGAAGATTTCAGAGATTACAGCTGACATATTGATCTGTTTAGTGTTAGAAAAGCTATTGATTATGTGGTGGTGTGAGCTAATATAAGCATAAATTGACCTTGCACTGTGTTTTATTTGTGTTTCAGCTGGGGTTCATTGCAGTACACAGATGGGATAAGCAATACTGTTATATAGGTTAGAGGGTAGCTCGCAGCAAAACTAATCTCTTCAAGAAGTGGTATTCTATAATCTGCAGGAATGTTTAACACAAACTTTTGAGAAGAGATATTAAAGTGGGAAAAGAGTAATAGAGGTCAAGTGGAATAAAAAGAAAGGGAAAATAACAGGACTAGAAAAATGGTTGATCTTCTAACTCTTCTTTTTAAGAGTCTATGTTCTTTTTTTTAAATAGTAATGCTCCTTTAAAAAAGAAAAAAAATATTTTGGTTGAGGGCAGCATTCTGCCATCTAGACTGCAGTTAACATCAGGAATTTTAAAACACCTAGGAATAGCCTTCTCCCTTCATTATGAGATGCAAATAAGGTTTGTTTGGAATGGTCTTTCCATGGGGGAGGCCCCAGTAGCCACAGCTCACTATTCAAGTGTGATACCACTCCTGAAGCACCGTTGCATTGCTTTGACAGACTTCAAGCTCAGTCAGGTGGCCAGAAATACAACACTCAGAGGCTCCTCTGAACCTCAACATCTGCTCAGTCTTTCTCCCCTCATTTTGAGGCCCGTTTTAAAGTATTTTGTAGCTTTCTGCAAAAACTTGAGTCAAGTGTTTTGAAAACCTGCAGATTGATACCATTCATGTATAGCCCAAATGAGAGTAAATCAAGCTTAAAAGTCTGTAAAGCAGAGATGTGGACGTGTAAAAAAACAATTACAGCTTGCACTTAATTGGGCTCTGTAATTTGTTGCATTAATGAAATATTTCTTTAAAGTGGAAAACCTTTGAAGAATACTAATATAATAATTAATATTCAGGTTACCTAGGGAACTTGAGACTCTGCTGACTGTAGCTAGAAGATCCTTTGCAGAGGAAGCTACCCAGCACAGCTTTTTCTCCCTAGAGCTTTAAGGATGACCCTTCTAGGCAGCTGTGAGATTATTTCCCCCACTTTTCCAAATTTCTCTCTTACAGACAAGAAATCCAAGGACTTGTTCTGTCTAAAACAAGACAGAGCTGATGTAATTCTGGAAAGGGAGAAAAAAATTCAGTTGGGCTTAGAAACAAAGGCATAATGTGGAGATGCTAGATAATTGAAGAGCCGTAAAGAACAAAAGAAATTTTTTAAATGTCAACAGAAGACAAATTTTATAAAGGAAAAGTCTGAATAAAAATATGGTTTTCTATATGTCCCTAGGAGTAAATGTTGGAGAAGACTCCCAAAATCACTCTTAGGAGGATACTATTTACACCATTCTTTTAACAATGACTAGCAAATACTACTGTGTGGCACAATACATCTTAACTAGATTTCAAGAGCAATGAACCAAGTACTTGCACTTGCTCCTCTGAGGGCAGACTACATCTGGCAATGCTGATGTCACCATTATAGACACAAAAATAAGTGAAATACCAGGAGACTGGTTCCCTGACAGAATCTGGACAAAAGTAAACCACAGAAGAGTGACTGTGAATATGGGAGGTATTAAAAAGATCATGGCTTGTACTGGTTTCCTGGTTCTTCCTGATTTTGAGAAATGCATGTGTAAACAACATCATGTGGCCATTAAGAACCAGTGAGTGCTGCCAGATAGCAACCTAGCTGAGAATATGTGGGTCTGCACAGCAGAGCAGCTTTAGAGGGAGCCATTTGGGAAAGGGCAGCTCTCTGACAACAAATGAACACATTTTGCACAGCTGCAGGATAAAGCTGAGCCAGGTAGTGGAGGGTCAGCCTGGAGTCCTGTACTCTGCTCTCCAACAGTGAGTTGGCAAGAACATTGTAGTTTGTGCCAGACATGGCTGTTAGCTGTAACCCTTTTGCCAAATAAAAAGTCAAGTATTTCTTTCCCGAGCTGCACTCTAATTTACATTATTTTATTTGGCCTGGATCCACTGGGGGAGCAGCTTACAAAGAGAATGGATGTTCTCCTTGGCACACAGTGCTGTCTTCTAGGAACATACGAGTTACTGGCTTAAATCATATATTCCTTCACTCCACTAGCAGCATGACAGAAGCCAACAGCAAAAGCTGCAAAGGAAAACACAGCAAAGCTTCTCTGAAAAATTAACTACCCAGGAGAAGCTGCTCTTGAACCTTATTAATTAGAGGTTAGTTTATGCCCTGAAGCATAAGACATTAAATCCCTTATAAATATGCATGGCTGTTCTTTAGAACTTCAGGATAATAGAGAGATGTCATAAAATTGACACCGTGCCTGGGAAGCATCTAAGCGCTCACTCCATTTAACAGATGGACAAACAGGAAAAGAAGTCAAGCAGCTTCTCTGCAGTCTTGTCAGCAGGCAGACTTCTGGTGGCACTGGCAGGTGAATAATGTGACACAGGCCGCTTCAAGTTTCTCCTGCTGAAAGTGGCTGGCTGTAGTACCCAGTTTCTGCTGCACAACTCCTGAGAGATTAATTTCCTCTTCTGGAAATGGGTGTATTTATCTACCTACTTAATGAGATTTTCAGACTGTATAATATTTGTATTACACAGCTATTACTGATACTAGGCTAAGTCAGAAAAAAGAAGAAATCTACTGCCCAGGGATTATTAATTAATTTATTTCACTACAACTCTAGAAACTTTTTCTCTCCCATAGCTCTATTAATGCATCCTTTCTCAGCTAAAGTGTCCTTCCAAAGCTAGTTGCAGGCTTAAATCTGATAAATAAGTCTGGGAGTGCTGTAAGCATGGAGATTTAGCCAGAAAATTTTATAAAAAATTTGGTTTTCTTTTTAAATTTTTTTTTAAAAGACTCTATTAATCAACTGCTAAGGGCCTTGAAAATCTCCAGTATGGTCATGGATTAAGGACAATTGTAAAATTTTAATATCTAATTTCCAAAAAAAAAACCAAACCAAAAACATAAGACTGAGAATGAAAAAAGAAAGACAAGACTTATGCAAAAGCATCTTTTGTAAAACAATAATTTGCAATGCCCTACACCAAAGCACTAGTCCTTAGTCGTATCAATGGAAATATTTGATTACATCAAATCAGATCAAATTTCAGGAACAGAATACATAGTACTGTCATCAGAATTGCAGCATGGGTTACATACATATGGATTAGCTAATACTCCAGCTAGTTTGAATGTTAAAAACCAAGGAAACCATAAGAGCACAACCCTTGAACACTGATTCAGTAACAAGTTTATCCAGTCTGTGACGAACCATGGATTTTACAAGATGGTTTTCTGCTTGGTATTTGAGCTAAACTAAGGCTAGGAAGATCATCTCAATGTACACACAGTCCACAGTTTTTTGGTGGCTTAGTGCATCCCACAGTTTTGTCTTTTGAATTTTTCCAGTTTGATCATTGGTTGCATAACCGACCTTGATTACTTATGACCCACACTCCTTGATGGAAACCAAAGACCATGTGAGGAACAGTAAGCATCCTGTACATAAAGTCCAGTCTTATATGATGCTTTGGATGTTTGATTCCCATAGGCCTAGAAGATGTAGAAGCTGGCCTGGTGGAGGGGACATTGTATAAGCAATAATTTAAGAAGCAGTAGCAAAAAGCTGGTATGTGGTGGCTGGTCCCTTTGGAAGGAAAAGAAGTTTAAAACAAAAACAAGATTGGAAAACAATTAGCTCAAATGTCGCAGGGTGATGATTAGGTGAGAGCAGCTTCATCTCCTGTCAACTCTGTGCAAAACACTTGCCTGTTCTGAAGGGGAATGGGCTGCTTCACAGCTCCTTATCATGCTTGATAGCTCTGTGCACAGCTAAGGCCTGCGAGTCTATGCAAAGTTTCTTTAACTCTGTGTATACTCCTACCTCGGCTTTGGGAAACACCATTAGGCAGCTGTGATACACAGCAAACACAGCAATTCACGTTGCACAAAATCCTTTACCCTGTCTCTCCTCACCCCAAAACTACTTCTTCCAAAGGGATGATGTTGAGCATGTGGATATTAAGATCTCAATGCTAGTTAACTCCAGAGAATTGGAAGATAGGTCCGTTTATTTATTTTTAACAATCTTGACAGAATCTTTAATGCTGATCCATGTAAAAATGTAATTCAAGAGAGCTTTTTTCCCCTGGAGAAAACAGGGATGGCACAGTGAAGCTGCTCTTCAAAACCAGCATGATTTCTAAATGAGAGATTAGGCTTTTCAGAGCTCACCATCCCTACTGAGCATGTCCTTCTGTGCCATCCCGAACAAGGACAGAAGGAATCATGTGCTGTCATTCTCAGGGGCCATGATAGGCAGTGACAAAGCTAATGAGTGCCTTGGGCACTTCTGTAATACAGGCAGTGGTCCTGGGGTAAGGACTACACTGCTTCATTACAGCCTTTTATCAATGTGTCAGTTCATATGGATAAAATAACATTACCAGTACCTTTTTAACACTGTTGGATTTATGCCAGGAATACTTTAATTTGTTCTACTTAAGTTAGTTTACCACTCATTATAGTGGAGATAGAGGAAATTACTTCTGTAGTTCTTTTATTCTACTCAGTTTGCACAGTTAAACTCCAACAAACAAGAAGAGCCCCAGCATAAAAAAAAAAAATCATAGAAATTACTACAAGCAATAAAAAAATTATCTGTTTAAATGGGAATATTTAAATTTATGGCTTCTTAGAAAAATCTAGGGTAAACAGTTTTTCTAAATGAGACAATGAAAATTACCTGAATTTTGTAGATTCTTCTGGTTTCCTTACCCAGGTGCAGTTCTGCAGTTTTGTGACTATGTGAAGATAATAATCTTCTGAGTATCTAAAAAAGGAAACAACATCAAACACTAGAATATATATGTATGTATATTTAGAAACACTCTCTGAAAACATTCAAATGATGCATTTATTAATAATAATGTGCATGGTGCATATATAATAGATTGCTTTTAGAACTCCATGACCTATTTTATTTTTGTAATTTGTAACAGCACTATCCTCATTTAACTAGCATGACCTATTAAACATCTCTTCTTAATACTGGTGTCCTAATGAACTTCAGAAACTTTCAAAAGTATACTTGTTTCAAACTTACATAAATGACCATAAATATTTTGAAGTTATTAGAAATCATCTCAAGTGCAAAATTCCAAAATAATATAAATCATTCTCTTGTACTTGGTGGTTTAAACCTCAAAAGCTCTTGTAGGCCAAGACGAAGCATAACACTTTTTATACCTTCTCTTTCATTTACTTTATAGAGTTCCCCAAAGCTCAATCATCTAAAGACAATAGACCAATATTTACAGATGTAAGTTTTCCTTTAAACTCTAAAATAAAACAATCTGCTATTTTACATAATCCATAACTTTGGTTACATTGCTACATATAACCTCTGCTCTTGAAAATCCCGTCAAGAGATTTAAATTTGTTCATATGTGAAATACTTTGTAACATGCAAGTCAAAAGAATAAAGACATTTTTGCTTTCATGTTCAATGTTACTACTTTTCCCATTTGTGCCAGGATCTTAACACAGGATTTTTAAAAACAACAAGTGACTTATAACAACTGGGGGAATAGGAAAAAAAGATGCAATGGATCCTATGACTAAAATTCTATGGGACTCAAGTCTCCATACGAGATCTAATTTGTATTACTTTAACGAAAAGAGCTTAGTGATGACCCAAACAATCATGACTTTGTTCAAGCTGTCACTTAGAAGTGTCTATTTTGAACAGTTTCACAAGAGTTGAGATGGCAAGATATGTCACTTGTTTTTAAGTGGAGCATCAGAATTGATAAAAAGCAATATATAAAAACAATCTGATGGTTGCAGCAGCAGAGGTCAATTAGGTAATTGAAAGCTACCTTCTCTCTGCTCCACATTCGAAATAAACAGATTGTTTGTTTCATAAAAGTACTGCAATCACTAAAGATAACTCATTTATCCTACCCCAAGTAAAATCATGTCCAATTTCTATATGGAAAAAGAAATTTTTATTTTAAGAGGAATGCTGAGTTAAAACTGGTCTCTGGCTCAAGTTTGCACCTGTGACAATGTACAGTTTTCATCCTCCATACTTAGCAAACACTCAATGGAATTAGAGGATTATGACTAAACTGATTCTACTGAGCCCTTCACAACTCAAGAGAACTCAATTGTCAGAAGCAGGAAAAGAAAAAAACTAGTTTCATTGCAGCTGTAGCTGATCTGATCTGGTGCAGTACATTCTTCCTCCTTCCAGCCCAGCTCCCTTGTGTCACTATGGGTGCCTACCTGACTCCTCCTCTGCTTTTCTTTTGCCAGGTTTTGCACGTCAAATGCCTTCACTTTTACTACCAGTAAAAAGATCACTAAAAAGTGATCCAGAAGGAAAAGGATATGCATATACCTTTTCTTCTTCCTTATTGTGTTAAGCTAGATATGAAAGATTCCATCTAACACAGGCAGTATAAGCAAAGAGTGATGGAAATGGACAAACAGGGACCAAGGCCCTCCTATTTTGGCAGCTGCCTGCTGGTATGTTATCAGCCTTGGAACTGCAGCCAGGGAAAATGGAACTACCTTCCTGCTGAACTGATACCTAGATTGAGTCACCACGGGGTCAGACAAGTGTCAGTAGCAGTACAGGGCAGGGAGTGTTTGTGTGGTAAAGATGAGATAAAAGCAAAAGACTGAATTAGCCTATTCTTATGTTGAATAACTCACCTGGTTTTATTCCTTAATCTAAACAAGAAATCACTCTTAGATTCTTGGACTTACAAAAAAAAAAAAAAATCCAAAAATTAATAGGATAACAGACCATGAAGAGTTACTCTAGGCTATTGTTGTCCAGGAGAAAGAAAATACAGAAAAAGCAAATTCTAACCTAAAGCCATTGATAAGATGAAGTTCAGAGTCAGAAATGAATCAAAAAATTACCACGCATTCAGAAAGAAATTGCATGTACTGGCAAGTTATTAGCAAGATACAGGGCAACATCTGGTAGGGAGAAGAATGAAAGCATCATCCATAATGCTAGTTCTGAGACATCATAAGAGACATAGGCACTCACTGTCAAAAACAGTAATGGCCTTCTCATACTTGTAACAGAAAATGCACTTAGGGTAAAAACACCAATTACAAAGCAAAAACACTGCAGCCTTTCCACAGCTGTCCCTACTGGATAGAAGTGCTCTTGCTCAGAGCTACCCAAGCTCACCAGCTCACACAGAAAAACACTATTTCCAGGTCTTTACAAGTCAGAACACCACCTCTGCTCACCCTATGCATCCAGTTTAGCTCCTTCTTGTGACTTACAAAGACTCTCTGGACTGTCAGAACTTGTCTTTACCAACTGGCACAGTGCCACAGGCAGCACAGACATCCCAGCACATTGTCCTGGAGGACAGGAGCTCCTAACAGTGACAGCTCTGCAAGGCATCTGCTCACACCAATAAAAGGTTTCTATGAAATGAACTTCAATACAGACAGTATTCGTAGAACTAAAATTTTAAAGATTCAACATGAAGCTCTGGGATTTGCTGAAGCTGGATTTACAGCCCAGAAAACTTGGTTTTCCTCTCAGAAAGCCAATTTTAGCATTTCCTGCTTTAAAAGAGGCTTGAGGACTCACTTCTCCAAAGGAATCAGTTCAGGTTATCAGGGAATCATTTCTCTGCTGAAACCCAGACAGTCATCTTCTCCACTGTTCCATTTTAAAGAGCTGGCACATTACATATATTTCCATTGGCACCCAGGAGCCTACAGCACATATTCACTGATGCTAAAAGGGTTTTATTATGAAGATAAAAAAAGCTCAGGTAAACTGAACTATAAAAATACTTGGACAACACAATAATTACAGTGCTGAGAAGAGTGAATGAATGAAACATGTTTTGTTTTGTCCTGTTTTCGTCTTCCACCTGCACCACAACCATTATACTAATTTGCTGTCCTAGGAAACTCACTTATACTATATGAGCCTGACTGACAAATAACACCTGGAGCACTTTTTTTTTGTCCAGAGTACTTGTCAGGTAAGCAGTGACCTTCTCTCTTAACTCTGGTGGCTAAGGTGGAATTACTATGCACATTCAAAGAACTGACAAAGTACTAGTATCTTCTAATTTTTGGCAGATATCTAAAGGACAACAGCAATGACAAAAGTGTTGCGATAGTATGGAGACAACAGGTAAAATGTCAGAACAGACAGATGCAGTCTCACTGGTTATTTGTTAAAACTAAATACCAACTTGCAAAAAAGATATTTGAATTAGAAGGAAGATTGAGCAGCAGGAGTAAAAAAGAACACATTTCTACTTGGCAGTTTATGTTCAAGAAAGAAATAAGTAAAAAGAAAAACTATGGCCTAAAATGCAAAATAAGAGGAGGCTCTGTTTTGCCACTGGACACGTTAATACTAACCAAAAAAAAAAAAATTAAAAATCAGTTTTATAAGCCCTCAGGAGATAGTGCACAGGGCTTGCTCTAGAATAAAAATGGAAAACTGCTAGCAAAACTCAGCATTTCTGGCTCTTTGTCACCACCAGCACATACCTGCTACAATAATAACTTCCCACTTACATAGCATTTCTTACTATCAAATCACTTGACAAGCTTTAAATTAGTAATTTTTTTCTCTTTCTTCCAACTTAAGAGGCAGGAGTGTCCAGAATGTCCCTGCAAGTCTAGAACTGCAATATAAAGCATTTATATACCATACCCATAGGCCACACCTTGAAAAAGCAACAAAACCCCTGCAGCTCCTCTCAGTGTAAGTCAATAGCTGCAATATTAATGACAAAAAGCAATCCCTTGCTCCTTTTTTCCAAGCATCTGTTTCTCTTCCTACCTGCCCAATTCATCTTCTGCCTCATTAAATGGTACAGCCCCTTCCTCTTTAACCACAGAACAAAGGTCTTGTACTTTGTAAAGTTTCTCCTGTAATCTCAGCTCCAAAACGTTCTCAATATGAAGAGCTCATCTCCAAAAACTAAAACTTTGCAGTGTGTGGGATAAACAGCAATATTTATATTGCTGTAAGTGGATTTTGAAAGCAATATAGTAACTGCTTTTCCTTCCCTTGGTGTTAATCACTCAAGTTTTCAGTCAACTGCATTCTTTGACCTCTGCCAATCCATGTTTCAGCTCTCACTATCAGTGCATCAGTAACATAGTAGTCTATCACCTTTCAAAAGAACAAAAAATTAAATTATAATGATGCTGAAAGAGGTGGAATATTGATGGGAGAAGAGATTGTAAAAAAGGGGGAAAAAAAGAAATAAAGAAGTAATAATAAGAGTAAAGATGAAATGCTGGAAATATGATGACTTAAAAAGAGGTGGAAGATCTTTAAATGCAATAAAAAAGTAAGGAGGAGGCAAAAAGAGTAATTTTTCAAATCATCATTTAATGTTGTTTTGGCATTAAGGAGGGAAGCTCCCAATTTTAAAGACAGCATGGCACCATCCATTTGAAGCTGCAACTCAGTCCTAATGGGAAGCCTTTCTTACTTACAATGTTTTATTTATGGATGGATCCTTTTATCAATTGGTGCATCCACATAGGAAAAGACGTTACATGTCAAAAACAATGGCTGCTTCTCCCCTTTTCACTTTGGAAAGTGACAAGGAATTTGAGCAGGACCGATATCAAAGTGAGATTTTTCTCCATGCCAGAAAAATACAGAACATCAAGCTGAAACCCAAAATTAATTTGGGGTGGTTCTTTTACAATGCATCTGAAATTGGGACTGTTAGTTTCCTGTGGACTCATTATCATAATGCAATCATGTGACCAACCAGCAAGTCTTTATACTAGTAAATTTCCAAACTTACTCCAGTCAACAATGCTGAATAGAATCATTAACTCATAACAAGGAGGAGTGTTCACCAGTCAGGGAAAAGACACTCAAAAACGAAATTATATCCCACACTTCTACTCAATTTTTTGTGAATAACTTGGAATGCAATGTAGCTAACTGACAAGAAGAAATCTTGCATTGTGAAAATAAAAAAGCTACAATCCCACCTCAAATAAATCTTATTTTATAAAAGAAAAAAAAGCAGCAAACATTGGTTAAACAAATTCAGTTTTCTGTTGCATAGCTCCACATTAATAAACCAAGAATTATGTAAAAAAGGACAATCTTTTACCCTTCCATTTAAAACAAACAAAGCAGAAAGGACAGCAAATACCTACCTTTTTTTCTTGATAGATGATGACAAAATGTTGTCCTGAATTGCCTTACATTTTGAAGCCTGTTCAAACTGGTAAACTCCATTTTTATTAAGAGTTGTTCTGTTAAAAAGGAGTGGGAGAAGAAAAAGCAAAAACCTTTTAAAGAGAGAACATAGTCTACCAATGTTGTCACGTTTGCTTTGCTATGACAATAAGTTTAATAACCGTTGATTTAGCTGAAAACATTACCAAACAAATCTTATGGACTTCTATTGTGAAGCTCCTATTACTAAAAGAGTTTCCTGCTAGAGACTATAAAATATTTGATTCTTTATAATAACCCTATTTCACAGTCTGAATTACATTTTCCACTTTATACCGTAATCAGCAAATGTAATTTAAAAAAAAAAAAGGAAAGCCTCCTGAACATTAAGTTTTGAAGATATTTAAAATATTCACTACTAAAATATTTTGCAAATGTGATTTCTTAAAATTGCTGATGAAATGCAATATTCAGAGTGAATATAATATATACAGGAAATCCCACAGGTGAAGTGGATCTTTGACCTTAACTTACTGACTCAAGCATAATACTTCCTGCCTTGTTTATTGTTAATTTACACAGAAAAGACAAATATTTGTAAAAGGAACCAAGGCAAGTGCCAGATAGTGATCTTTAATTCCTGTCTTATTTTCACCAAATTCCTGTTTGGTCCTCTTGCTCTGGGCAGCCCTTGTAGTAGACAGAGTAAATTAGTAAATGACTGAGATACCAAGGTCTTATTCCAGTCACCTCAGTTCATCCTGTATCTAGGTCCAATCTCATACAATCACCCTCTTCTAACATCAGCCTTCCACTCTGTGGATCACCATTTATCATAAAGATTTTTCCTCTGGCATTATTTTCCTTGCCCCTCACCATGTTACTCCCTGCCACCTCCTCTTCCCTTTTGCTCTATCCACTGATTCACTACTTCCAGAGCCCTTGTACATTGTAGCCTATTGGTCCAAATCAGAAGTAGAAACACAGAAGACAGACACTGTGCTGTTCTTAGAGAACAACTGAAACACCTCTGTACAGAGGCACTCACACACAAAGAGAAAGGGCCTTCCTGCTTTGCACACAATGCTCTGTGCTTCTGAACTATCACTGCTTTTACTGACATGGACAAAACTCCACTGCCTGCACCTGCTGCAACATGGAGACCCCTTAACAACATGATTTCTGACAAGCTGATTTTGAAAACAACATGATTTCTGACAAGCTGATTTTGAAGACTTTGCTTGGGAAAGATGCCATTTCAAGCCACAGAACCACAGAGAGGCTAATGTTGGAAGACATCTCTACAGGCCATCTAGTCCAAACTCTCTGCTCAGGCAGGGCCACCTACAGAGGATGAACTTGGCTCCATCCTCTTTGAAGCCTCCCTTCAGGTATCAACAAGATCCCTCCTGAGCCTTCTCTTCTTAAACACTTCAAGACTGATTGAAGAAGAAAGAGAAGAATAAATGTTGTTTATTTTGCTGCTGAACTGACTCTCGTGGTCAGAGCCGACAGAGAAGGAAAGAACCGCCTTTCTTTTTCTTTCCATTGCCCACGAATTTTCTAGAAACTCAGTCACCCCTAGTAGCAAATCCCACAGGATGTAGGCTGCAGAGGAGAGAGAACAGCCCTCTTCCTTTCTTCTCACCACCAAGAAATTCTTTGCAGTGTACTCAGTGTCCCTGAGGAAGTATCCAGTCTGTATGCTCCTTGTTGAGGACAACAGTAAGACAACATAACATGAATCTCTATCCCTTCAGTTCTGCAGTAACTTCAATATACAGTAACAGCTGGCACTGCCTACTGAGAGCTTCTTGGCTGCCTTTGCATACAGCTCTTTATCTTATTTTTTCTCAAGGAGTGAAATACAAATAGCAGAAGACTCTCAGAGCACACAGTTCAGAGCTAAGAACTCTGCAGATCTCACATAGCAAGTGCTAGCAAATGTTCTGCCTACAAAATTTCTGTACACAGGTTTATTGTAGCTTGGTCTGAATGGTTCTGTGCAGAACAACCAGGTAGGCCCTTTCCAGTTCTCAAGCAAATTTAGTTAGCACTACATCATGTTTCTTCTCTCTTGCTTCTTTAACTCTGTAACCTCAAGTGATTATTCTGCAGCTGCAGCTTCAAATAAGAGAAATGGCTACAGGCAAAAGTTTAGCTACCTACACAGTATCTTAAAGAAAATTTAAAAAAAACAAAAAACCAAAACCAAACATATTGATATAAGACAAGTGCATGTTACTGCTGCAAATAAGCCTCTTATTGTAACTAAAACCTAAAATGTTGGATGCTGATTTGAGAAGTGCCCCAGCCCTTCTGAGCCACAGCTGGCCAGAAGAGATCCTGTCTAACATGAAGGCTGCCAGGATGACCAAGTCAGAGCAGGCAGTTAGGTTTGATCAGCTCCCTGCGAGGTGCATTTATAGGCAGCAGCAGAGCACCAACATTCTTTCACAACTCTCTGCAGACAACCATTAAAAGTCCTTACAGCTTCCTATTAATTTATGCCCTGAGATATGTGGGGCAATGAATAAATATTCTCTCAAATACCAGCTTTACTCCACAGACTTCTAGTCCTTTTAAATGCATAAGATCAATGCCAGCAAGTTTCCTCATTTTTTAATATGCAATTGTTTTTCATGCACTCATTTTCAAGACTTGAAAAATTCAAAAAAGAGAAAGTTAGAGAAAAAAGAAAGAACAAAATAAATCCCTATTCTGTTTTGTCATTAAAGTCTCACAATCACTTTACAGCCCCATGATAGATCACCAAAATGCTTCTTCAATGGCTTTTTACTCATAAAACTTACTCAACGCTCTTTATGCGAGGCAAAAGGTACACAATTAAAACAATTTATTTGCAAGAGATGCAAAACAACGACTCATTCCTTTAGAAGTTAAATTTCTGAATTTCTGTTCCACTGTCAGAGTGGCCTCTGCTTCATGTGACTGAAATATTTTCGTATTTAGATAAAAATGGGTGTGCAAGAGGCAGTCCAGACTTCTGTTGCATTATTCATGGCAAAGTGTGCAGACATCAGACTCGGATTAAATTTCTGCTCATTTCAGACAATTGTGCAAGGCAACATTTACCACTAAATGAATTTACCTGACCTAGTGGATGACAGTCTTTGTTCACTACTTGGAGCAGCACTACAACTTCTGCAATTAAATCAATAATGTGCCTAACAATGCAGATATCAGGCTACATTCAACTAATTTCGTGAACTATTAAGCTAAATGAGAACTTGAAGTAGAAACATTCTGTTGGCTTGAATTCATAAAACTGATGATACAGGGAAATTTCAGCTGTATTTTCCCTAGGGCTTAGATGTTCTCAAAGCCAATCTCATTGGACCAAATCTGAAAAACAGGGGGTTTTTTTAATCATATATGAACAGCTTGAGGACCACATACTTCCTATGGTAATTCTAGGAACTCAGGAAGTACACCATCTGTACTTTAATAAATCCACAGTAGATTAAGACCATGTGCCATACTTATCAGCACGTTTTTATTCTAGATCTTGCTCTCAGGAAGACAGCAGATTCTCAAACTGTAAAATTGTATAAAACAAGGATTGAATCTGCCTTTAGAATAAGAAATACAGAAACTATATGGAAAGTCCTTTTGCTGCTCCTGTAGCATTCAGTCCTGAGGAAATGGGGAACCTTAATGCAGGGAATTGCCAGACAGAGGTATGTCAAGTAACACAGCATTCTGGGGGAGCAGAAAGGTACAAGGTACAGGCAGGGAAAGCAAAGGGACACCCTTTAAAAACAAAATCAAACTCAACATCAGTTATCAGAGTAGGAAAATGGGATGAGCATAAGATGGAGGAATGGTAGGCAAAAAGAAAAAGGCAGATGGAAAAAGGAAAACTGGTGCTGTGAGTTATTCTATAACGTGAAGATTGAGAGTCCACTCCACTAGAAATCCCTCAAAATCAGGTGGAAACAAAGACTGTGGGATGAGATATTCAAAATTTCTCAGAACTGAACTATCTGACAACAGTGAAAGCAACAAAAATTTCACTCCCTAGTATGTCCACACTGAAAGTAAGGGGAAATCCCACTCATCGACTATTCACTCCACGCCCAGTAGAGCCAGTTGTTACTCTTTTCTAGCTTTTTTAGCTTCTTGCCCTTGTCTGTCTGAAGCATCAAGAGCTCTAAACGTGTTCCAGCTGAGCATCTCCAGCTAAAAAGGATAAACTTCTGTATGCAAAATCGGACATTTTTATCATTCTACCAAAATGACACTGAATAGCATCATACAGATTGTGAATATCTTCTGTCTTAATCTCTCCCATCTCTCCCTTGAAGGGACTAATTTATATTTGAATCTCATCATCTGTTAGTTGAATACTAAATTCAGTTGAATAAAAGTTGAATAAAAACCCCACAATTCGTACTTCCCTAGGAAGGATGCTCTTAAGTGCTTTAGTGTCTTTGACACTATTTCAAATTAATCAGATGATAAGAACATAGTGATGTTTTTAAAGTTCACAACACCTTGATTAATAAGCCAATACACAATTTAAATTCTTGGTGAAATGGACTATATAAATGGCTTCATCAAACCACAGGAGAAAAAATTTGTCTTGAAACATTAATCACAGTAGCTGTTAAAGGGATTGATCCTACTACCTTTGTTCAAGTTCCTACAGAGGTATTCCTTAGCTTTTCTAAGGAATGCTAAATCCGGTCTTTAGCACAAACTGCATCCTTAAATTATTTGAAAGACCCTCCAGTGGATTCACCAAGGTCATGTATAACATCAGATACCTTTTATTTATAAAATCCATAAACTGCATGACAGGTAACATGACAAGCAACATTCAGAGCCTCATGGTAGGTGAAGTGAAAAGAATAAGGTACTTACTCTAAAATGATGTTACAAGGACACATGATAGAATGACAGAGCAGTTTCACTTGGACCAAGTAAACAGAAAGAGTCTGGGAAACCTTTCACCACTGTCAGAACGTAAATGTATTCTGGCAGCAGCTTTCAACTGAACACCTATTCATTTCGACAGAACTAATACATGAGGCATGTGTTCAAAATGTGCTCCTAAAGTATGTCTGCACACATCACTTGGGAATGAAGGGGCAAAATATTAAGAGAGCAGTAAAATTAGTGAAGTGGACCCCCACTGCTGACTAATCTAAACTATAGCAAACCATTTGTGCAATATACAAGGCTACTCCATAACTGTGCTATTAGCCTGTCTCTTTTTCCCCTTCTGACTGCCTGAATGCAATATTTTGACAGGAGACAGAACGTACAGGTCTCTGTAGCATTGTTAATTAAGTGTAGCTGTTTATTTCCTAGGCCTGCATACAGATCTGCTGCTGAGAGTGGAACTGGAGAAATTAAGACGATGGAACAGTATTAATACTAACTTGTTTACTCACAGCTCCTCAGTCACTTCCTCCCACTGCTCAATTACCACATTGGTCTTTACACCGTGCTTGCCTCGGACCCTCAAAGACAGGAAGCAAGCTAGGGAAATAGTAAGTGATGCCTTAAAACTGGCAACACAGAGTAACAGAGTAATAGTGGTCAGTTCTTCAGGGTACTGCTGCCTTGTTACTTTTATGAAAAGTATACATAAATAGTGCCATTTTCACTTCCCTTGCAGGAGCTGGCATTATTTATCTGCTACGTATCCCTGAGTAGTATAACAGGAACTAGAATTTCTGCCTAAATTTAACCTAGTACACCCTGGGCCTCATAACAAAGAAAATACTACCTACCTTCTCTTACTATTTTCATTTTCCCCTGATAAGCACTAGCAGTACTGAGCCTTCTGTTCTACTATTAATGCAACCATTACACAAACAAATATGCCTGCACAAACACAGCTTAGAAGAGAGAGGGAAGACCAAGGGTCTAAAAGTGGGAAAAATGCAAGACTTTTTTTGGTAGTGCTGTTGCCTTAAGAAAATGTACTTGAAATTGTACTTAAGAAATGGTACTTGCAGATACAGCTTAAAAATTGAGAGGACAGTATGAGGCAGAGATAGGAGAATTCGCCAGAGAACATAGTATTGCAGTATAAATGATACTGGTTCTATGAATAAATCTGGGGACTGCTAGACATATCTTACTAACTTGTCCTAAGTGGCCATATCTTACTTAGTGGCCTTTCTTTTCAGTAAGAAACCCTACTAAGAGGCACAGTAGGCTATGAAATAGGTCCAAGACCAAATACACAAGCTGCACTGTAGAGGCAGTCAAATTGCTCCAATTAGGTAACATTTAACAAGAAAAAGGGGTAAGCAATGTCCTGTAAGAGACAACCACATCATCAAGGTTATTTACTAAGAAACAGATCTTCAGAAAATTTTAGGTGCCTGGTCACCATGTATTTAAACACTGCTGCACATAATAGCTGCCTAAATATAAGAGTCTGATCCGATCCCCTGTTTTTCATCCTTTCATCCTTCAATTTCATCCTTTTAAAATAATTACTCAATGTAAAATAACAGATTAGCGTTCAATACTGCAAGGCAACAGAATAATAGGGCCTTGGAGATTCTTTGGGAGATGTCTGGTTACAAATATGCCTCCAACAGCAGAGGAAATAATGATAAGAAAAAAGATTAGCTTGTGACTGTAAAGATTGTCTAGATTACTTATACTTAGAGGTCAAGGATACTGCCTAGGTTTTTTTCTTTTTCCTTTCCTGGAAACATCAATGTACATCTTCTTACTCTTATGCAGGAAAGGACATTGCTGCCAATAACATAGCAACACCATTCACATGATCAGGGTTGTTTAGGAGAACCATACTTCCCCACTGCACACTGGAATCTAATTCCTATTGACCAGACCATCCATCTCCACCACTGAGGGATTGGTCTGAACCTTCTCAATAAGGCCAGATGCTCTCTGGATCAAAGCTCTCCAGCATGGCCCTTAGCCAGGCCCAGTCCAGCTGCTGCCTGGATCAAACCCCTCCAGCATGGCTCCCTGCCCAGTCTTGCTGCTCTCTGAATGAAGTAACAGCTCCTGGCCAGTCCAGTCCAGCAGCTCTCTCCTTTCTCATAAGCCAAACAAGCACCACAAACTCCTGTCAGGCCAGCTTACTGAGCATAGTCATTCAGGTAAGAAAGCACATCCACCTTTGGATTCAGCTGGCAAGACATCTCTCCAAAGACACTATGGTTACAGGAGCTTAAGTAAATTGAAACTTTCTTTGATTAATTATTTACTTGACATACGTATGCAGTCACTTAGTCATGAAGAAATACAACTTCAGGCTGACCAAAACTAGCTTCAAATTGGTGCCAAAATCCTCCAGGTAGAATAAAGAAAAATACTTATTTAAAAATCTCAATCTCACATGCCCTATTAAAAAGGTTAAAAACATGACATGAACTTTCAGACCTCTTTAGTGTGTGTTGTTTCTACTTTCTTTGCTCCAGTTGTGAGTGTACTAACTGCAGATGGAAATAGCTAGACTGTTCTCTGAAGTGCTCTCTGCCAGCATTTCTAGTCAATTCAACTCCATGGTATAGCACACAGAGCTGAGTGAAAGGAGATGCAGCTCAGAATCTATCAGGGAAGAGCATGAGGAAACAGTCATAACCCAAAACAGAGTGATGAGAACAGAATAATGGCTAAAAAAAAAAGCAAAGCAGAACAGTACATACTGCAAAACCAATACTAAGAGGAAGAAAGAAGGGAAAAAACGCAGAGGGAAAAATTAAAACAGGAAAGAGAAGCAGGCTAGAAGCTCATAACACCAGGTAGGAACATTTGCAGAATTCTGTTCCTTTTCTTTCACTATAATTTTGAAAGATGCTGTAAACTTACAGCTTGTGAAAGTTCTAAATTTTGAGGGAGGAAACACAAGGGTCTCTAATCAGAGACACATAAGAAATGCACTGTTAGGGTACACTGCAATTGTTACTACAACTAACATCACTTGCATTCACTGAGGGAAAGCATAGGCTGTCAAATTCAACCAGATTGGGTGAGATGGTGACCTCAGCAAGGTTAACTGCACTGTCACCATTGTCTTCAGCACAACCAGGACATCACAGTTTCTGTGAAAGACCCAATTCTTAAGTTCTTTCTAATTTTTATTATGTGTTTTTGACCATAATATATATTAACATATAATAGTCATGGTAACTGCAGAGTTAAAAAGGTCATATAAAGTAAAAGAGGAAAGCAAAAATATTTCGAAACTACTTCCTACATAGTATTTATCTCATGTGTGGATTACACCACCATCTTCTGCTCTCTTAGTTTTCCTACAGTGTGTAGAGACTCAAAAGCACGAAAACAACAATCATTAGTATTGCATGTAAAGCACAACGTTTCACAGCTGATTTTTATAAAGTATCTTCATATTAAACTTCACAGTATAAAATAACAGGCTGTAAAGCAAAGATCTACATTTGATCTAAAAGGTCAAGACACACGATCAAGTGAGTGAGCTCCCACAAAGTACGATGCCAACCCAAAACAAAACACGCTTCATATGTCTTGCCTTCATCCTATGGATTGTAAATGATAAATCTGGATTTGTAACTAAATACAAATTACAAGAACAGTAACAGTATTACCCAGCTCCAGCTCCACCTTCCTGGAAAGAATAAAAGATACCTGGAACACGCCATTCAGCAGGCACCTTTGCATCGTACGCTAAGGAAACTGCTCTACGCAATGTTTTACTGGGCTCAAAACCAACGGCAGAGTGACAGCCGTCAATAAGAGGGCCCATGAGCAAATAATTCATTATAGTTAAAGCAAAGTGACATTTGCTCTGATAATCTCTAACGCTCTCCCTGATCAAGCTGCAGAAACAAAAGGAAGAACGAACCGGAGCGAAAGCGAATTTCTGCTTTTGTAGACCCGACCTCACGGACCCACCTGCGGGCGGCCAGCCCGTACCTGTTCTCGGTCTGAGGAAGGGGCGTCCGGGGGGACCTGAGGGCTCGCACCACTTTCGGCGTGACAGCCGCTACTCCTGCCTCCTCCTCCCAGCCCCTGGCAAGCGAGACGGGGAAACAAAAGTTGTCAGAACCAGTGATTGAACATCACCCGGTGCGAGCGGCGCCGCTCTCCTGCCCACGACCCTCTCGGAGCCGCCAGCGCCCGCGCCGAGCCCAGAGCGAGCCGGGGGAACCGCGCCAGGCTCCGCCGCGCCCCGCGGGGCTCGCCCCGCTCCTCCCGCCCTCCCCAGCCGGCTCCGGACCGCGGGCGAGGCCGCCCGGCCGCCCTACCTGGCGCGGAGGGGCTGCTGGCCGCCCAGGCGCAGGAGGCAGCCGCCCAGCAGCAGGCTGCCCAGCGCCGCGGCCAAGGCGATGACAGCCCGCATGGTGCGCTCGGCAGCGGCGCCCGTCGCAGCTACGGCCGCCCCATAGTATTTAAGGGAGGCTGCGGGGAGGGGGAGGCGGCCATGGCAGCCACAGGGTCTCTGCGCTCCGCCCCTCGCCCGCAGCCCTGCGCCGCCGCCATCGGCCCCCCCTCTCGCCGCGGCCGCTGAGCGGGCCCGGCCCGGCCCGCCGGTGCTGGCGGGGGGCACCGGGCTTGGCCGGTGTGAGGGGGGCGGCCTGGCCGGCGGCCTGTGCTAGCGGCTCGGGGCGCGTCCCGGGGCGCTTCCCGGTGTGGGGGGCGGCGGAGCGAGCGAGTGGAAACTGCCGAAACTTTAATAGGGGAGAGGGGCGCCGTGCGGGACGGCGGCGGGAGCAGGGTGCGGGGCTTGCCCGGTGCGGAGCTTGCCGCCCTGCCTCGTGGCTGGTGTAGCGGAGCAGCTGCTACTTGAATAGCTCTTTATCTGAATTTAAAAATAGTAGTCAAAGTGTCCTGTGTTTTGTCTTATAAAAGGTGTTTTATAAAAATATGTATATTATAGATAAACATGACCCCACAGCTCTGAGGCCCCACGCATAAGCAGGATGAGGATCTATTCAGAGAAGGGGCACTTCTGCTGTGGAGACAGGCTGAGAGAGCTGGGGTGGTTCAGCATGGAGAGCCTCGTTCCAGCCTTCTGGTATCTGAAGGAGCCTACAAGAAAGCTGGAGAGGGACTTTTTAACAAGGGCATGTAGTGATAGGACAAGTAGGATGGCTTTAAACTGGAAGAAGGCAGGTTCAGATGGCCTATTAGGAAGATATTCTTAACTGTGAGCGTGGTGCAGCACTGGAACAAATTGCCCAGAGAAGCCATGGATGCCCCATCTGTGGAACTGTTCAAGGCCAGCTTGGATCAATCTGACCTAGTGGAAGGTATCCCTCCTTGTGGCAAGGGGTGGTTGGAACTAAATGATTTATAATATCACTTCCATTCCGAAACATTCTGTGAGTCTTTGATTTGCAATTGTTTTGGTAAAGAAATGCTTCTGTAGTAACTTTGTATCTTTATACCTGATGGTGCTTTCAGTGTTGTTTTCACAAGCCAGCCTTTGGTATGAAAAACCTAGTAAGGTGACAAGGTGCCAATAACTAGGTCTCTTTTATTAAAAGCATGGGTAGAAAAGATGCTGTGACTTACAGCAGCCTTTCAGTCATGAGTGTCTGACATCTTATTTTTGCAGATTCTCCCCTATCCTTCATGATTTCTGAGCATTTCCTTATGCCTTGGAGCTGCTGCTCATCAAACAATGGCTAGAAAGTCTCAAAGTAAGAGCTTTGCTGCAACCATATTAATGAATTAACATGGATTTGGTATTGTGGGTGGTTAGATATGGCAATAAAAAGCAGCATGCCTATAGCGCACCAGAGGAACAGCACAGCACCATCTGTGATTGTGATGGGATATGCAGGGAAACATCTAAAGATGTGTTTTGGGGCATTTGTTACCTTGCTGGTGAGCAGGGCTGTGGGTGTGGGTGGGAGGGAGCTAGAAGCAGTTGGCTGGTGTCCCAAGGGGTTGCAGGTATCTGACTGGCTCATTGCACAGTCCCCCTGGGAGCACAGCTCAGTTGTCTTCTTGGCTTTGAGGTACTTAGTAGTAATAGCGAAACAAAGCCAGTGTGAAGACTTCTATTGAAGAAGTTTGCTGGTTTGAAATCGTTGTGAATCATAAATATCAGGAACGTGAAGGTGATTCATCACCATTTCCCAAAATGCTTGCTTTGGGTCAATCCTATAAAACCAGTTGACACTGTACCAAAAAAGTAGGGAGCCAACAGTCAAGCTTTTCAAGGTATGTGTATCTTTATTGATCAGCAGATACTAGAAATATTAATCCCCCATAACCTCTGTAAAGCATGAAGGCTCCTGCTTATGTTAGTGGGTATAATTTAGCTATTTCATAATACCCATTAAATACTCTATGTAAAACAATAAGTCTTAATAATCTTAAAAACCTAGAGGTATTTAATTCCAGCTCTGAATAAAAGAAGCCTAAGAATTACAGTCCAGGAAAAGAGTAGGGTTTTGCCCTCACTGTTATTTCTCTCTGCAATACACTTTTCCCATGAGTCCTGAGGTATCACTGTCAGCTAATCCATGGGAAATTTAGTGATGCCACTGAGGACATCATATTTCAAGTTAGAGGTCTGCTGCCAATGCTAGTCTATAATATCAGTAAAGATTTTTTTTTCCCCCGAGATCAGAAGGTTAATCTTTGTGTCATATTAAAGTTCTTGCTGATAAAATGGGAATATTATAAACTATATGTGTTTAAATTAGACTTGGCACTTGGTGCTTGTTGTTTACTAACAAGTTTACAAACATGTATTGATTGATTGTCACAGTATCTTTAAATGCTACCAGCCGTAATTTCCTGGCACAGCAGCTTAGTAGAAAGGTTAAGTGACCCTACTAAAGGGTGAGATGAGAATCAATGGTGAATCGGAATTCAAATTTTAGAATGCTGGATTCAAAAGACCAAGTTTCTCTTACATGGTGTTGCTGTGTCAGGTAATGTAATTTAGAGGGTCAAAATGATAAAGGCACAGGTGCCAAAGATGCCACACAGGAAAAGACAGTCTTAACAGTGTACATAGAGTCTGTGTCCCATCTTGTCATCCTCCTCACAGCTGGAAGCTGCTGCATCTTGGCAGTATCCCCCATTCTCTGATTCCCATTAGCTTCTGAAGTCAGCAGGAACTGATAATTGCTGGCTGTCACAGAAGGAAGAGATCACTAATCAACCAGGTGGTATCATCATGACTTTGTTACTGAGCTCCTACAGCCCTACTTAGCTGCTAATTTGGAAAAGCAAAATGCATCCTTGGTTATCATCCATGAAAGGCTACTGTCCCCCAGGTCAGCAGGATTGCATCTCAAAAGGAGTCTGGTGGAGGTGCCTGTAGGGCTGCTGGTCACATGGAGCCAGCTTAGCCTTCTTATTTCCAGCAGCTAAATCATATTAAGAAGCAATTAATGTTCATTAAATGCTTTCCTAGTGCTGCCTTCTCATCTAAGCAATGGCTGTCATAGGGATATTAGTTATGGCAAATAGGAGTAGAAATGACTGTTACAATTAAGAAGGAAGAGAAAGGTACTAAAGATGTTCAGTGAAATCGGAGTCCCATGTTCTGGGGAAGCATGAGAGGCCCCAGAGTGAGGTGTTGATGCGAGACAGCTGTTTTGTATTTTTAGTGCACTCACAATGAGTGTTTTTAGCAAAAAAACTTCAAGCAAATTCACAAAACTGAAACATATGTGTTTCAAACTGGGAAAAAGTCACTGGTTCACTGCGTTTCACAACTTCATCTATTTCCACCCACGGTTTTGGGCAACGTGGTTTTACATAATGATAAACTGCAACAACTAAGGTGTCATCTGCCAGACTCCAGGACATCAAATGGCCCCAATCATTCCACTAAAGAAAAATCACAAAAAGCAATGCATTTTTGTACCTCATTAAAATAAAAAAAGATTCCGAACCAAATAATCACCTTGTGTGGCTACTACTGCTGTGCTTTTTATCTTGCCTTAATGTTTTTTCTCTATTTTTTTCAGGACAGAGTTTTGTGTCCTGTAACTTTAAAAATTAGGCTTTATTAGAGTAATAATTTAGTAACTAAATTCAGCCAGCAACCAGTCTGTTGAGATCTGCATAAACCTAGCTAAATTATTAGGTGTTTAAAAGCAGTTACATGTACTATCACTTTAAGATATCATACTATCACTATAAGATGTCATACTTACAGAATCACAGAATATTCTGAGTTGGAAGGGGCAGACAAAGATCATCAAGTCCAGCTCTTAAGTGAATGACCTGTACCATGGGGATTGTACCCATGACTTGGTGCTATTAGCTCCTTGTTCTAACCAATAGCAGGACTTGCTTCTTGCGCACAAAATTAATGATTTTTCACTGTTGTAAGCTATGTTTTTGTATCCATCAGTTAGATATTGTGTGCACTTCACCAGATTCCTTCATTTAGTTTAACTGAGAAAACAGCTTCTCTTTAGCAATGATGATCCAGCCCGATGGCAGATAAATGCTCATTGCCAAACTTGAGGCCAGTAACTACTGAAAATGAGTGTTTTACTGCCAGCCGCTGTGTGAGCCTTCATCCAATTAAGGGCAGTGCAGGCATGTGCCCATGACTATAGTTCAGTCTGGTGTGTATGCTTTTCCAAAGGAAGCTGAAAGGTCCAAGAGGATCTGAATTACAATTAGGTACAAAGGAGGATTTTAATTCAGAAACCAAAAAAACTTGCAGTTTGTTAACCTGAAGAGAAATAACTTCTTTTCCCCCATTCTCTTTTCTTCCTAAAGGCTCTCAGCACGACATCTTAACATGACACTATGCAAAAGGCCGTACTGGGTCAGACTAGAACAGCATGTTCTTCACGCAGTGCCCAGCAGCGCAATCCCAGGGAAGAACTGTGCAGTGATCCATCCCTAGGACCCTTTCTCAGCTTCCAGCAATCAATGGCTCAGGGAATTTCTGAACTAGACCTAGCTGTGTGTTTAGTTGTCTTTCATGGATTTTTCTTCCATAATTGTATCTAATTGCTTTCTGAAACCATGTAAACTTCTGGCATCAACAGCAGCTTGTGCCAATGATTTCCATGCAAGATGAATCCTTCCATTACAATTAGCCCAGGAACAATTTGCAAGTCTCTGTTGTTATTTGGAACTCTGATCTCCTTGCTAAAGGAGATGATGCCTAAGTATTCTCTTGTAAAGAATTCTACTACAGTTGCACAAAACAGTGCTGCAGTTAATACAAATTCACAGCATCCATTGCTAGAATTCAGTGGGAGTTATTACAGAGCATACTGTGAATGCAAATTAAAAATAATGCACAACACTCAACCAAATCCTAATGGACCAATGGCACAATGTCAAATACAACAGGAGCAAAGACTTTTAATACAGTTATTAAAACCCCAAGCAAACAAACAAAGCAAG